AATAAACTGACAAGTTACAGTTGTTTCACAGTTCATGACTTTGCCTTACATTTTTATTGCTATCATAATGAATTATTCATTCATTTTGAGTCTTCAGTTCACCTAACATATTTTTTCAATGTGGGGGGGATTGAGCTCATGTGAATGAGAGATGCTGCTAGGTGTGTGCTCCTTCCACACACACTTGACATTAAAGGGGAAGTAAATCAAACATTATCTTTATAAAAATATGTCACCTGTTTTCTGGGTTTGATAATACGACATTCACAAACTGAGCCCTGAGGCACTGTGATGTCGTTTACAGTCAACAGCAAGTGGCAAAATGGCCACCCCCTGATCTGGATAAGAATGGGTGAATTTTTTTAGCTTAATTCACAATCCACAGTTGCAATATTAATCAGAATACCGTGTTTGGACAAGTGTGGCCGCATAGAATATATGTAAAGAGTCTATGCTAGTCTACATGTGAAGAACATTTTTGTGCATTTAAGTGCATGGTGGAGGCCTCGCCAATTCTGTTGGTTCTCTCTATTACTAATCCCTCTCTTCTTTTTTTTTTCTGTATTTACAATGTGAGTATTGCTTCTCACTATGACACAAAAGCTTTTTACTTACTTAAACTGGGGTTTCAGTTAAGGCAAGTCATCATTTTTTTTTCCTTTTTTTTCCGCAGCGCTTTTTTTTTTTAACCAGACATCTTTAGGGATAGAGCAGTCTTTTGTCGAGGGGGCTGCCTTCTTGCCATTAGTAGAATGATATAAAACATGACAAAACACTGTCTCCGTGAAGCCGGGTGTTAGACGGGGCTATTCTCACCGGGACTGATATGTAGGGCAAGAGAAGAGCAAGAGGAGGAAGAGCAGGAGGAGGAAGAGGGGGCGGGGTGAATGAGTGAGTCTCAGCTGAGAGCTAGGGGGCGCACAAGTACATGCGCGCCATCCGAGAAGCATGCCTTCCCTTAAACACAGAACGGAGTTGTCCAATTGGCATGCCAATACACTTGCCAAATACACGAGTGTTCTTTTTGTAAGATTTCATCATGAATAATATTCATGAGATCACAGCGCGTTATTTCCACTACAAATTATTCTGAACATATCTATTGCCACATTGTGTCGATATTTTTTTTTCTTTGTATCAGCTCAAGCACATTCTGTGTCCATTCACACTTGCGCATACTGGGAGATGACAAATTGGGAGGTACTGGTTTCTCTTTTGACTGCTTTGCCCAAGGCTCTCGCACATGGGAAGAGGGCCAGTGGGTGCGGGGTACAACAAATGCTGGCGTATCTCAGCCAAGGAGCACACATGTCGAACAGGGGGAGGGGCAGAGACTGAGAGTTAGATTGGCATCTGTCTATTAGCATTGAAATCTGCAGTGGAGTGTGTGTGTGTGTGTGTGTGTGTGTGTGTGTGTGTGTGTGTGCGTGTGTGTGTGTGTGTGTGTGTGTGTG